TATTGTATTTGGGTAACGTGTTTTGTTTTGTTTTTTCCTGAAGTAAAGACTTTATGATCTCACTCTCTTTTTCTTTGACTACTTCCTGAAGTGAGTAAAGAATTTATGATCACTCTCTTTTTCTTTTCCTAAAGTAGGGATGCGTGCCTTAAAATTTTGAACTAGCCAACCGGGTAAGGGAAAAGATTGTGAAGTCAAAACCCTAGCCAATGGAGTGAGACACAGCCTTGAGACTGGTGACAGGGATTAAAAACCCAAGTGGACTGCTGACTAGGTGTGCTCGCTGGTCTGTTCCTGTATGTACGGTTATGCACTTTATGCACCCTCTTGCAGGTGTAAATTTTGCTTTGCTAGGGTAATATAGTCTCACTGAATGTCTTTTATGCAACATCAGGATTCATTTCTAACATTTATTCTACTGAAGTCAATTGTGCATTTATGATACTGATTTTGATAAACTTTCTGGAATAATTAAATCTACCCTATGTGTAGCACTCTAAGATAAACACTGGACTGTGAACCACAAAGTCAATGATTCAAACCCATCAGTCACTGCTTAGAAACCCTATAGAAAATCCCTATGAGTTGGAACCAATTCTTCTTAGGCACTTGACAACAAGTTATTCCCTACCTTTGTTATCTTAATTATTATTCATGTTACTAAATTTCCCAAGAGTTTGTGTCCTATTCATATGTAAATACATCAGTTTTAATTATTGGAATCCTAACTATAAAATGTAAATCATTTATTTTCCCACAGGAGAGATTAATTGACAAAACCACCAAATAGGATTAAGCATTTTTGCTCTTCTACCATCGTGTAGGCGACCATCACATCCATAAAGATATTCTTTTAGCACCCAACATCGTATCACTTGTCCTTGATTTTCATTTTCAAAGATGTTTGTCTTTCTCAATTCACTCCCATGGTTATTCTTTGTACCTTATCATTGCCTCAGATACGTTACCAACTCTGATGTCTTAATTTCTCCCATTATAACCTCTAACCTCTTAGCCTTCTTGCTCTTTCTTTCCCTTTATCACTATACCCTCCCTTTGATCCACTGTAATAACGAGACCCTTAAGTATAAAACCTTTGGATAATCTCTAACTTCACTTCTTTGTACCACCAACTCCACCTTCACCTTGTTATTATTAGATACCATCAAGTCAGTTGTGAATCATAGTGACCCTATGTACACCAGAAGGAAACACTGCTCAGCCCAGAGTCATCCTCACAATTGTTATGTTTGAGTCCATTGTTGTATTCACTATACCAATCCATGTTTTGGAGGGCAGTGCCTTCATTTTTCAGACCCTGCACTTTATCAAGCATGATGCCTTTTTCCAGAAACAAGTCCTTCCTAAAGACATGGCCAAAGTATGTGAGAGAAAGTCTCACCAATCTCCCTTCTCAGGAGTATTCTGGCATGCTTCTTCAAGACAGATTTGTTTGTTCTGACGGTATATCGGGTATTCAATATTCTTCACAAATATCAGAATTCCAATGCATCAATTCCTCTCCAGTTTTCTTAGTCATTGTCCAACTTTCACATGCATATGAGGTGAATGAAAATACCATGACTCCAGTCAAGCACACTTTAGTCCTTAAAGTGACATCTATGCTCTTTAACACTTTAAAGATGTCTTTTGGGGCAGATTTGTCCAATGCAATATGTCACTTGTTTTCTTCATGGCTGCTTCAATAAGCTTTGACTCTAGACACAAGTAAAACAAAATCCTTGAAAACTTCAATATTTTCTCCATTTATCATAACATTGTTTATTGGTTCTGTTGTAAGGATTTCTTTCTTTACATTGAGCTATAATCTATACCGAAGGCTGCATTTGTTAAACAAATCCTTCAAGTCCTCTTCACTATCAGCAAACAAAGCTGTGTAATCTGCATGTTGCTGGCTATTCATGAGCCTTCCTCCAATCTTGATGCTGCTCATATAGTCCAGCATCTCAAATTATTTGCTCAGGTTATAGATTTATTATTGCTGTTGCTAAGTGCCATCAAGTCAGTTCCAACTCATAGACACCCTGATAGGGTTCCCCAGAAGTGGATTGTGAGTTTGAACCACCAACCTTTCAGTTAGCAATCCAATGTTTATCCAGTAGCACCACACATACAGCCCTAGCATACACCTCTCCTAATTTTAAACCTTGCCATATCCTTGTTCTGTTCTAATGGCAGCTTTTTAGTTTATGCATAGGTTCCTAGTGAACACAATTAAGTGTCTGATATTCCCATTCTTTGCAATGTTATCCATAATCTGTTATGATCCACACAGCTAGATGTTTTTGCATAGTCAATAAAACACAAGTAAACATCTTTCTCATATTTTGTTTTCAGCCAAGATCCATCTGACATCAGCAAAGGATTCGTTCATTCCATATCCTCATCTGAATCTGGTTTGAATTTCTTGCAGATGCCTGTGGTGCAACTGCTTTTGAATTATTTTCAAAATTTGACTTGCATGTGATAGTAATGATATTATTCAATAATTTCCACATTCTGTTAGTTTACCAAATAGGTACAAATATGTATCTCTTCCAGTCAGTTGGCTAAGAAGTTGTCTTCCAAATTTCTTAGCATAGACTTGTGAGTGCTTCCAGAACTGCATCCTTCATAATAATACTTATTTTTGCATTATTACACAATGTAAGCTTTTCCCAATAGACTAACATTTTGGGTTTTACGAGTTATCATAATCATACACAGAGTCACTGTGCCAAAAAGAATTAGTTGATATTCAACTGTTTCAGGAGGTAGCATAAAATCAAAAACCAATAGTACTGAAGAAAAAAGTCCACACTGCACTGAAGGTATTGGGGAAAAATAAGTCTTCAGGAACTTATGGAATACTGATTGAAATGTTTAAACAAACTAATGCAGGGCTGGAGATGCTCTTTCATCTATGCCAAGAAATTTAGAAGTCAGCTACCTAGACAACCAACTAGAAGATTCACATTCACAGACATTCCAAAGATAAGTGATTTAACATAATTCAGAAATTATCAAAAATGCAATTAATATCACAAGCAAATAAATTTTTCTAAAGATAATTCTGACACTAGTTGCAGCAGTACATCAAAAGGGAACTAACTGCCAGAAATCCAAACAAGATTCCAAAGAGAATGTTATACAACGGGCATCGTTGCTGACACCAGGCAGATCTTGGCTGAAAGCAGATAATACCAAAAAAAGGTTTACCTGAGTTCTAGTGACTATGTAAAGCCATTCAACCATGTGTATCAAAACAAATTATGCGTAACATTGCAAAGAATGGGAGTTCCAGAACACTTAGCTGTGCTCATATTGAACCTGTAGTTAGACCAAGAGGCAGTTATTCGAACAGAATAAAGGTTGCATCCTCTCACCATATTTTTTCAATCTGTATCCTGAACAAATAATCCAAGAAACTGGACAATATAAAGAAGAATGCACCATCGGGATTAGAGGAAGACTCATTAACAACCTTGCTTGCTGGAAGTAAAGAGGACTTGAAGCACTTACTGAAGAAGATCAAAGACTACATACAGCCTTCAAAATGGATTACACGTCACCATAAAGAAAATAATCATCCCCACAATTAGACTAATAAACAAAAATCACAATAAATGGAGAAAAAAAATTGAAATTGTCAAGGATTTCATTTTATTTGTATCCACAATCAATGCCCATGGAAGCAGCAATCAGGAAATCAAATGATGCGCTGCATTGGCAAATTTGCTGCAAAAAAATCTCTTTAAAGTGTTGAAAAGCAAAGATGTCACTTTGAAGCCTAAGTAAGGGGCACCTAACCCAAGCCCTGGTATTGTCAGTCACCTCATATGTTTTCAAAAAGCTGAACAATGAGTAAGGGAGACCAAGGAAGAATTGATGCCTTTGAATTATAGTGTTGAAGAATATTAAATATACCACGTACTGCAAGAGGAATAAGCATATCTATCTTGGAAGAAATACAGTCAGAATGCTCCTTAGAAATGAGGATGGTTAGACTTTATCTCAAGCACTTTGGACATTCAGGAGAAAGCAGTCCCTGGAGAAGAAGATCATGCTTGGTAAACTGGAAAATCCACTGCTATTGAGTTGATTTTAACTGATAGGGTTTCTGAGACTGTAAATCTTTACAGGAGCAAACAGCCTCATCTTTTCTATCACAGAGTTGCTGGTGAGTTTGAATCATCGACCTTGAGGTAGCAAACCAATGCCTAACCCACAGAACTACCAGCGATCCTTCAGTAAGGTAGAGGGTCAGCAATAATGAGATGGATTGCTGCGGTGACAAAAGTGGGCTCCAATATACAATGATTGAGAGGCTGGTGAAGGACCAGACCGTGTTTATTCTGGTGTATATAAGTGAAAACCGACTCTATAGCACCTAACAAAAACAACATTATAACTCTCTGAAGTAGGTACTATTTCCAATTTTCTAGATGAGAAAACAGGCTTCAAAAAGTTAAGAATTTGCCTGCAGTTATGAAGATACAAAGGTGAGGCATGACTCCAGGGCTGACCCTAAAGACCACGCTAGTAGCTATTATTACGTTGTGCTGTTCGTTTTGTTCTTGCTGTTTTGCTCCCATGGAATTTACTTCCCCCATTAATTTGTTTCAGCTCGAACACTGGCTGCCTTATATGACCTAACCAGATTTCTACAGACAACTACAGTTTCTTAGATTAGTTCTTAACTGTTGGTCCACTTAATAAGATCTTTTGAGAGCTGTAGTCACTACACCTGGTAGATTCTCAACAAGCTTTACTGAATAAATAAATATCTAAAAATAGCTTAAAATAACATCAAACAATGATTGATAAAATATCATCTGCTTTGAAGAATTAAAATAAATAAGTAAAAGAAAACCTGAAAAGCAGAACTCATGATGAATTAATTATTTTAGATCCTCCTGGTCCAGGCAGAAATTTTTCCCATAAAAGTACAAAAACAAATGGCTATTTCCTTCGGTTCTCCTAGAAGTGAGTCTCCTTACTTTCGAACACCTCCTACAGGGAAGACTTTTTCTCCAATTATGGTCAGCACACTACTCCAATCTGACAAACTGAATTTAGGTATGATAATTTTTACAGGTGGAATAAATAATCTTCCATTTGTGAAAACACTGTAGGAATTAAAAAAAAAAGAATTGATTAATATCTTCAATTTTAGGTAGGGAGCTAAAAATTCAAAGAAAAAATAAATCATTACAGAACTAGTAAAACAATGTGCTACAACTAAAAAGCTCACTAATAACACATTATGCCATTCAGACTCTGAGTATCAAGCTCCACAGAGCATATTAGTACATGAGCACAAAACAAAAATGTTAGGAAGATATGGTTTTACAAAATATAAAATGCTCAGATGAGTAGAACAAAATGTTACTTTAAAAAATATATATGTCTCCAAATACAATGATGGATTGGTAGCTGTGGTAGCGTAGTGGTTACGAATCGAGCTGCGAACTGCAATCAGCAATTCGAAACCACCAGCCGCTCCACGGGAGAAAGATGAGGCTTTCTACTCCCGTAAAGATTTATAGCCTCGGAAACCTTATATATAGGGTCGCTATGGGTCGGAACCGACTCAATGGCACTTAACAACAACAACAACTATGATGGATAAAATGGAAGGAAACTGTGTATATTTGTAAAATGGAGGTGGAGGGTGGTGCCGTTTAAAAAAAGTTCTTATTTTCCCTTTCCAAGTACAGTCCCCCAAAGAGCAATCCTCTGAAAGGATAATAGAAACCATTGATTCCACTGCTACAGTTTTAGGGCAGTTTGAATGTGATTTCGGTAGATTTGTTTTATTATTTCTGTATATTTGAGTGGGGGAGGGGGATTTGATATTATTTCAAAACCCAATATAAAACCATTAGTATTCTAGTGTTAATAAGATTGTGGCACACTAATCAAAGTCACTTGGCAGTAGTTTTAAACTCATGTAAATCATATTAAAATGATGTAAAATATAAGGCATATTTCTTTAAGTCTGAAAATAATGAATATATCATTTAGTAATACATAAGCTCAATTTTATAATTCTGGGTGTTTATATTTTCATTTTTCACATTACTACTGTTGTTTTTTTCAATGCAAATAATTTAGTATTTAAGAAAGACTTTTTTCAGAGTAATTTCTTATTTAACACGTTTGAGCACAATTAACAAAAATAAGTTATCTCCGCTTCTATGGCAATAAAAGACCTCTAATCAACCCAAGGTCCGACTACCTCCATATTTAAAACACCACTCCAAAAACAAACCACAGAGAACAATGGTTTACATGTTACATCACAGCTAATCAATGTGCTTTTATTATTGCAGTAAAGATTTGCTGCATTGTTTCCAACCTTTTGTTTTCTTAATTGGTTATGCCAAAACACTTTCTACAAATCAATTACTCATTGATATTTTTTAAATGTCTAAACAATAACATATTTTTGTTTAAATTTTTAAAGCTAGTTCACACACAGTGTTAACCTGAATTAGGCGTAATAGCATTTTCATACACTGCTGATGTCATTAAAAATTAGCGCCATCTTCCTGAAGGGCAATTTGGCAATATATATCAGTGAGATGTAAGGGCTCAATAACCACTCCACTCCATGAAATCCATCCCACAAAAATGTGGACACAGATTTATATGTAAATGTGCTTCTCATATAATTATTTATAAAAATCAAAACATAAAACAGTCTAAAAATATATTTTTTTAATTTACTTAACAAAGAAATAAGTAAATTATGACATAGTTATTGTTGTTGTTGTTATGTGCCATGGACTCGACTCTGACTCATAGCGACCCTGTACAGGGTTTCCGAGGCTGTAAATCTTTACGGGAGCAGAAAGCCTCATCTTTCTCCAGCGGAGCAGCTGGTAGTTTCGAACTGCTGACCTTG